ATGCACACACAGTCACACATGCACACACAGGCACACATGCACACACAGTCACACATGCATACGTGCACACATGTACACATGTATACACCCATACATCCATATGTGCACACAGGCACACACACGTATGCACATCCACACATGCACACACCCATACACACACATCCAGACAAGCACACACAGCTGCACATGCACACAGGCACACACACCCACACACGCGTACACGCACACAGGCACACGTTCATACAGGCACACCCCCGCACATGCACACCTGGGCATTTGCTATCTGGCTGAGCATTCCCTATGGGCATTTTGGGGTAAGATGAAGAACAAGACCTGTGGTCTTGTCACCAAATCTGGGGGATCAGTCAGGGTGCAGTCAGGCCTCAGCAGACTCTGGTGTAGTCCACTGTGCTGTGGGTTGTGGGTCAGGGAGGATTCCTAGAGGGGCAGCCCAGCCTGGGCTCTGTGGACCCAGCCCTGTCCCACATGTCTCGCTGACTCTCCTCCACCTGTGAAGCTGGCCCTTGTGGGGGTGCAGGTGATCATAGCCCCTTGGACTGTCCTCTGGCATCTGGTGAATATGTGGACAGTGCCCAGAAGCTGTCTGCCTTATGAGCCAGCTTGTTGCATCTGGGCATGGACACGGGCCAACGATATAGGTTCTCTCCTCCACAGATTGACCGACTCATTAGTCATGGAGCTGATATCTTGAAGCCTGTGACCCTCATGCAGGGGGACAAGGTGGCGGTGGGCACGGCTGTCGACTATGGCTACTTCCGATTCTTCCAGGTATGGCTCTGGCCTTACTGGTGAGGGAGGTGGGGCTCAGCCTCCCCAGGCAAAGCTGGGGCCCAATGCCAGCCCCGGACAGTGGGGAGAAAACCAGCTCTCAGGGCTGAGCGTGAGCTGGGCTGGCGTCTGCTGGGAGGGAGGGGCCCTCGCTCACCCAGGGTCACTCTCGCAGTCCCCCATGGTAAACTCCTGCTGTATTGCAGGACCGGAAGATTGCCCACTGCCCCTTCCACGCACTGATGCCGGGAGAGCGTGAGACGTTTTTGGCCCGGAAGAGGCTCCTGGAGCACGTGGGCTTCCACCTGCGAAATGCTGTGTTCGCCAAGGAAAGCCAGTGGGACGAGACCCTCCTGTACCTGAGCAAGAGAGGTGGGCAGCGCTCCCCTCAGTGGGACTCTTGCGTGTGGGGCTGCCAGGGGCTCTTCCCGAGAATGGGCTGCCCGCTTGGCCCCTTGGTGTTCTGTCCTCTGGGGAGGTCCTGCCCTCCAAGGAGGTTGTGCAAGAGAGATTAGGGATGAATCTAGCAGGGGAGAAGTGTCCAGGTAGGGGAACTGGTGGCCCAGGCCAGAGAGGCCCCATGGCCAAGAGAGATCCCAAGCCCTCCTGCTGCTGCAGGAGCTCTGCCCAGGAGTGTCTTGGTCACCCAGCATTGGGTGTCTGAGCCCCAGGGCATTGTGTGTGTCTCACAAGGTCACCTGCCCCTGTACACCTCAACAGTTCAACCACTGGTCCATACACGTAACATGCATACACACACCAAGTCCTCACACATGCACCAGCCCACACACAACCACATGCCGAGGGCCCCTATGCTGTCCACCACACACCTGCTGTCGAGTCATCTGTTCAGGCTGAGTAATTCCTAAGGAGCAGGAATTGATTGCCCACAGTTGCGGGCTGGACATCACATGCAGCCTGGAGAGGGCCGTGCTCTGCTTCCCGGAGGTGCCTTGGTGCTACGTCTGCATGTGGCAGGAGGCAGAGGGCAAAGGGTCTGGCCAACTCCCTCTGCCCTTGTGCAAGGCACTAATCAGCGCCCCTTTATCAAGGCCCTGCTCTTTATGCAGTCACATGGGGACTCAGTTTCAGCACGAGCTTTTTGGGGGACACCACATTCAAACCACAGCACTCATCAGCCCACCCCACCCCCATATGCTCACTTCACCCCCACATCCCCTCCTCACAATAGTCTCCCAGCCGCCCACTCACTGTCCCTCCACATGGGGACCCCAGCTCCCCTCATTCCCTCCTGCTCACCTCAGCCCACATATGCACCATGCACCCACATGCTTTCCCACCCCCCAGCCCTGGCATGTACCCCCAGCAGTGCACATAGGCCACCATGTACCAACCATGTGCCAACCATCCCCCCCCCCAAACAGGTCCATAGCCACCCAACACCCCCAAATCCACAATGCCTATATTCCCCACATGCACACATACCTCCCATATTAACCTGCCTCATCCCCACGTTTCCTCCACTCCTACCTGCCCTCTGCCCTCCATAGCGCCTGTGCCACCATCCCCCACCTCACAGTACACAGAACATGACCTGCCCACTCACAGTCAGATGCCCCTGCTGTGTGCAGAGGCTGTGTGTTCCGGGCCAGAGTGGCTGCAAGCTGCATCCTCCACCATGCACAGCTCTGCTCTGGGACACAGGCTCTGCCTGGGGTGTGGTGGTGCTGGGAACCCTGGGGCTCTAAGCACTCTTGTGCCAGCTCACAGGCAGAAGAGATCTGAGTCCACTTCCTCCTCCCTTCCATCAGAGGTTAAATCCCCAAATAGCATGACCTCACAGAGAGGCATTGCCACCCTCAGCTCCAGAGCCTTGGCTCAGAGGTTTTGCGCATGGGATAGTCACCCTGTAGAACAGTGAGCTTCAGATCTCATCACAAAAAACCAACTTAGTGTTCAACAGGGAGTGGACAATTTCAAACCTAATGGCAAAGAGCAATTGGGAGGAGATGGGCAGATGCATTGGTGACATAGGCTGAACCACAGGATAGCTAACCAAGAGAGAAAACCAGGGAAAGAAAGAAAGCTTGGGGAAGCCCTGCTGAGTTTACAGCAGATCTCAGACGAACCTCAGAGACTGGTCTAAAGCACAGCGGCATATCAAGAAGCATGTGTTCAAGAAAAATATACTCTCGACTCTGAGAAAGAATAGAGCTTTTCCCCTGCACTCTCACAACTCAGGGGTGCAGAAGCTTCATGCCAGCCTGGTGCAGCCATGAGCACCCCAGTCAAAGGCAGTGTAGATGTCAACAGTCCTCATCCTGTCCATGGCCACCCATTGCTTAGGCTAAGTTCCAGACTTGGTGTGACTCCAGTGTGGCTGGGAGTGGGGGCTCCATTCCTGTGCCCACCCTCCATTTGTGGGACAGAGGTTCTTCAGTATGGTGAGAATACTGTGGCTCTGATCACCCTTCTCCCAGCTGATGAGGAGGTCTTTTGTCCTGGAGAGGTCACCTGTGGCTACTTCCCCATGAGTGCTCAGCTCCCAGAGTGAGGGTGTCTTCCCCCACCAGCTCCAGAACCATGGCTCAGAGAATTACCCAGGGGAGAGACAGACAGTGCAGCAGAGAGCTCTAAATATCACCCTAAAGGAAATGACCTCATTGACAGCAGAGTGTGGAGAGATCTGAGCCTCGTGGTGCATGCAGAATCACCGGGGATTGTGAATGCAGTATCAAGAAAATTGGAAGACACACCGGAGATAAAGGCTCAACTGTAATCTGCCGTAGATGATTACCTCAGAGTTTATGGTATATTAACTATAAACTAGGTGGGAGGAGCCCTCTTGTGGCCAGAGCAAGTCGTGAACACTGAAACTGGGCATTGTCTCTTAACAAGTCCTGATTTGACTATATCTGGCTATGGAGAAATTTACGCCCAGGGGCACTATTGAAAACGGTGAGCAGTCAGCCAGCAATCAGCAGAACGAAACAGGTGGGTGTGGTCAGGGAAGGAGAGAGACAAAGAGATCCCCAGTGACCGTGGTCTTGGGTCCCTGTGGGCGTCCTTAAGGCTCCTTTCCATGAGGAGAGACATCAGGAGCTTTATTCTGCAGGAGGAAGAGCAGACGTCAAGTCAGCCCAGCTGGTCACTAAACAAGCAAATAACAATCCTTCCCCACTCCAGAGGGGAAGGATGAAGAAAATTGAACAGATCCTCAGGAAAAAAAGTGGGAGAACAACATCAAGAAAGAAAAAAGAGTCATGAAAAGTGAATAAATCATCAAGGAAAAGAGGCACCTGCAGGCGCATCCACACACACAGTGGGAACACCAGACACAGAAGTGAGGAGAACGGGGCAGGAAGAAATGGTAAAAACAGTCTGTACACTAGGAAGCTTAATGGACTCCATAACTGTAAAAACACAGAGAGATCTAAAACAGATACACCCAGATTAAAATGCGGAAAGTCAAAGACGGAGAAAACACAGGAAAGAAGCAAGAGAAAATACAACTTAGAAGGGAACCCCCGTGAGAGT